GGTAAAAGCTGGGACCAATCTGAATACTGTTTTGGATAGCCCGAAGATTTTTGTAACAGATGAGGTGCATATCGCCGTTTCATGAGAAAAGTTGATAATAGTTTTTCACGCAACTGCAGTCGATCTACGAATGGCTACAAAGGGCGTGAAAATTATCAAAACATTCCTGTGACAAAGTGTATGAGCTTTGCTTAAGGACTTTGAAGTCGGACGAGAAATTTGCGGAAAAAGGTAAATGGCTTTTGTTGAACTGGTGGCGAAAAATGAAAAGTAATTTTTGTTTGAAAGACACCAGAAGGAATTTTTGAACGTGGGAAGTGTTGGAAAGTGAAAAGAGAAGCATTTTCACTCAAAATCATATTGTGCCATTTTCTAGCAGAAACCGTTCCCTGTCCTTTAACAATTCAACAACATTTTCGATAAGTTGTACTCGAACAATTTTAACGTTTATAGCAGAATATGTTTTGGGATGAAAGAATAATAGGAAGCATGTTCAACATGTGTCAACTTCAACTCCTTATTTATTAAGCGTAGACATCGTTGAAATCTCTTGTTTTAACTCTTCTCTTATCACTACTTTTGTGATATACAAAACCATTAGATATTACAATATTTTGAAATATCTAATGAGTAGTTTTTGTTTGAATTTTAGTCATTATGTTAATAAATATTGACATTATCACTATCATTGGAATTGATAAAAAATTATTTCTGCTGATAATAGCACTCTTCTATGAATTAATCTCACTGTCTGCAACGGTAGAGAATCAGTTTGAAGTTCGTGTGAAAAAAGCACATATCGTTTTATTTGGTCGATTTAACTGGGATATACCAGCGAGCAACGACTTATTAACCAATTTACAGACAAAACAAAATACTTTTGAGTTCTCTAATTATTGTATGATAAAAAGCAACAAAGATCTATCAAATACAGTTCAAATTACAATTCAAAATGGTTTGTATGCCGCGATTAAATTTCTGAAAAACATCGTTATATAAAATTTCTTTAGAAATTATAAATGAATTATACGGAAAAACATGGTTTGTACTGTTTCCAGAACTCAGATTTGGAAAAAGTTTGTTTATTACCAATAGAAGTGATGCATTACATTTAGAAGAAGAAATACAATTACAAATTTTTGAACAATTTTGTTTTTTACAGCCTAGACTACCGTTAGGTATGTTGTTACTACTTACCAGGTACATTCATGGACTATTTACGTAAATATGTATTCTAGGATTTCCAGCAAATGGTATGCTAAACCGATGTCCCAAACCGAACAGACACTTTTGTATGAAAAATGGTACGATTTTAACTGGTGATATGAAAACAAACTAAGGAAGATTTTAAAATTTGAAATACATTACGATAATAGTATATAATCTAGAAGAAAAAATCTAAGAGTAGTGAAACATATTTTCTACTATAAGTGCAAGAAAAATATCCCAAAACAATTCTAACAGGACGATTCTATTGATCTATTATATACAGTTCATAAATTGAATTTCTTTCAATACTCATCCGACTTTCAGCTAGCTGAGTTCCATGGCGTTAGACTCCAGTAATGTAGGACTTTTGATACGGAGATAGACAAGTGCCAGTATTTACTTATACTCAAGTACAAAGTCTTGAGTAATCGCGGTTTTTTAAAAATACTGACAAATTTCTAACCACATCCAAAAAGATATTTATTTTTTCTAAAAATATGATAAATTAGATCTATACGGAAAATCTTGAAGAAATTGGTGCTGCGCTTCACGGCTGGCATTTTTCTAACTACGCTACTGTTTAATTTTCAGGATTATGAACGGTTATACTCTCTCGTTTTAGGTACAAAAATAAAACAAGACGAATTACTTGAATTGAAAACATTTATAACAAGTACCACTGCAAAGAAAAATTTGATTAAACGTCGGACAGTCATAAGACCAAAGAAGCGCATTGTGAAGTAGTAAGTTTGACATTCATCTATTCTTCATGAGCAATCAGTCATCTTTACTTTAAATTATTTACATATCCAGTCTTTTTTTTGTTGTTCAATTAATAAAGTGAGATGTACCTCATGCGAAATAAAAACAAAAAGTCATTTAAAAAAAGTTTTTGCGTCTTAAATTTTGTAAGAAGTCCCTAGTTATTGGCTTGTAACCTCAAAAACCGAGTGCTATGGCGATTTTAATGAAAATTAATTATGAACTAAAAAGCCGTTCACTAAATAAGGAAATAATGTGGTTGATTTGAAAACATTTGAATGTGAATTTCTACTATGATGATAGCAAATATTACTACATCTTCACATGAATACATCACATAATGCTGTTGAACAGTTGTACACTTCGATTAAAGATCATCAACTGAATAGTATAGCCAGGTTTTTAAACAATGATACTGTAACAAATTGTTTACTGTTTTTGTAAATATTCTTTCTGAATATTAATTCCGTAAAGATGTAAAGCTAGACGTGCTTGTTTTTGTGTAAAATTTCATGACAATATCAATCTTTAGTACACAGGGAATGAAGGACGATCGCGTTGGTTGAACGTAGTAAAAGTAAATATATTAAATTCATCAAAAATTGCCCCAATCTAATGATCATAATTAAGAAATTTCTAGCATGATAAACAATTATTCTATTTTGTAGCATTTGATGTTTGTTCTGTACATATTTTCGAAACTGAATCTTGTTTCAAACGTATGAATGACTGGACAATGTCATTAAAATGATATAATTTTCGTGCCATGTTTCAAACACTTCAAACAAGTTCATCGAATGTACTTATTATTTTCTAAAAAATTCGACCATGGATATGCACTTTTCAAGTTAGTTCCATACCCTAAAAGATACACTTACCCTTCGCTACTTGACTGTCTATGTTTGTATCCAAAGCGCAATTAGGAGAACATGAGCGGGTGTGGGTAGGATTTTCTTTGTGGAAAAATATATTATAGAATTTTTCTTTCTTTTGCATTGAATTATTGAAAGTTCTTATGCGTATTTTTTTATGCTGATCACAAATCTCATATTAGTCTCTACTACTAGCCCTGACTTGATAACATCTCTGAATATCGGTTCTGCAGCATTGCCCTCTGAACAAGATCTTGTTAGATCCGTTCCTGTCTCACAAATGTACGCTTTTCTAGTGAAGGAATTCTCTAGGTATATCTTGTGCAATTTGGATTGTGGTAGTTAGATGTATAGTTGTTTCACTCAGAGTATTTGTTTGATTAGAAGGAAAGGTTTGAATAAAGTTTTTAAGCCAACTTCTTTGACGGTTATCGTGAAGAAAAAACACTGATATAGTCAAATTCTATACATTTCCTAGAATTTCTGGAAGAGCTTGCCTACTAAACAAGTTTATAGATTGCCTCGGTAAATGGAATTTTATGGGAAACCAATGAATTGTAGAAATTCTGACAGAATGAATCTCTTAATCTCTTAATTCACTAATTCAAAATATTCGAATATCCATTTGTCTAATTCTTGAAAAATGTCACCGCTTTGTGTTTAACTACAACCACTTGCCATTTTAAGCTATTTCGTATTCAGGGAAGAAAGTGACATCACCCTACATTGTGTATCATAAACAAAAGTCCTCCCTCTACATCCTGTTGACAACATTAGCTAGTTAGTATTGTATAATTATATATTGAAAATAAAAAACAGAAATTATCAAATGAAACTATGTATACAAATATATTGTTTTACATTACACAACAACAGAAAAAAATGTATCTGAACGATTTGTCAAATTCTGTAAAAAAAATTTTTTAATTCAAAATATTAACAATGCACACTCAGACAGAAACATTACTTTTTCTTCTCAGTTTTTTTTACTTGTTGTTGTTGCCAACGTAAAAGACCAAGTTCCGTTGTTTTTGGATCATGAATAAAATTATTATCAAAATTTTTGCTCATTTCTGGTTTATATTTCATATGCTTAAGTAAAAATAGAGAAAATTCATTATTGTCTATTCAAAATACTCATATAGATAATTCGTATTACCTCCATAAATTGTGCTTTTTGTTTACTTTTTGGTTTTAATACTGAATCCAAAATTCCTTGTAATAACTCTTCGCCTTTGGCTTCATCATATTCTTCTTCGTCATGATTATCCACATTTTGTAATCGAGTATGATGTCCTAATCCAAATTCTTTAGGATCCTCAAAAGATGATAAACTTTGTTAACTACAGTTCAAAATCTTTCTTTTCTAGACGACATACCAATTCCTCATTTTGCTGAGATTCTGCAACTTTTTTATCCGATAAATTTGAATTTTGTAATCGTTTTCGAGCTTCGGCTAATTGATAAAGTTTGTTTAAACGTTGTTTAATATCTCCACCAACATTTTGGTCATGATTACCATACTGGAAGGATCTCATTGTCATTGCACTTAATTCTGAATTTATTGAAGATGTTTCATCCGACTGCTCACATTGAAAAACTTTCACTTCATCTAAATAAAAGAATAACAATTAGCTATGACTAGAGAGGCTCTTGGTTGAATATTGTTTTACCTGAGACCGAGTCCTCATCTTTATTCCCATACATATCGAACGTTCTAAATTTTGAATATAGTTCTGCCATTGAAGTAGAACCTAAAATCGCAAACATTCATTTTTATTTTTATACAATTGTCAAAAACCTGATTGAATTTACTGTTGTCAGAGGAATTGGCCATTCTGATTTTCTGTTCCTGTATAACGGATGTATCTGAAATTTAAAAGATCTCAACGATAATCACAAAGTAGAACACGTTCTAAATAGCACGGCTAATTACATACTGACGATTTTTTTTCAAAAAGATTTTATTCCATAATTTAGAACACTCATCATACTTTTGCGCAGAAGATGTTAGGGAGATTATTATATTTCAAAATAGTACCACTGTTATTTACGCCTTTTTGTCGTATAGTAGGATATATATTTATAATCAAAGTTATCTTCCTATTTAAGACTCTCACGAATCGGACTGATATGATTTTGCAGAAACGAATTAGAAGATCTTACGCTTTGCAAGGACATTCTACCATTTTCCACATGTTTTTTTAAAGAATATTCTATGCACAACTTAACTTATGTAACATTTCATAACCTACCAGATCTAGAATGCGTTTGAAAAAAGCGCAAGTTTTTTTACTTGAAGTCTTGTTCTATAAGTTTAGATTTTCGAAAGTAGTAGCTACCTTCTCGTCTTCAGTTATTGGATAGTTTAGACAATGCCTAATTTTAAAATGCCTGATTCGTTTAAATATTTCGATCTATTGTTGCGACATCTTTGTGATTAATAAATAACAATCAGACTCCATCTGTTTGGGTTTCATACAAAGATATGTTGAGTTTCACAAGTTTGAGAGAGTGAAGACGGATGCAACTGTTTAGTATAATTTTACGATGGCACTAATTCGAACGGTCTTTTTTGACTGTAGACGACGTGCCATGCGAATTTGAAAATTTTGTTGTTATGAAACGAATTTGAGAATTTTGTTGTTATGAGTTTGTCGAACTGTCTCATATCACCGATAAAAAAATAAAGTCCATTTAGAGCCACGGTAAAATGCTTTTTCGTATCCAATACACTCTATAACCTGGAAGATTTTCTATTTTGACAAAATTCAGGAAAAATTTTGAAACAAAATGGCGAAAAAACAATTCCATAAGAAAATAATTTTAGTTTCAAAATTTTTCCTGAATTTTTGGCAGTACACCAGAAATAGAAAATCGTGCGGGTTATAGAGTGTGCTGAATACGAAAAAGCACTTTACCGTGACTCTAAATAAACTTTATTTTTTTCTTCACGTTAATATTAATCAATATGCAATGAAAATTAAAAATAATTTTGAACGAAGAACAACAATTGTGAGCTTAGACCATTAATCAGAAACAGGAAACTCAGTTTTGTTTGTATCGCTACAGTGTTGTAACTGATATGGAACGCAATTATTATAGGGTGCAGTTTTGCGGAACATTAGATATAATTTATTTTCTCCTTCTTAAGATGTTATTACAATTCCTGCTTTTCAAAGACAAGCTGCATGTGTATGACATGCATATGCGCAAGAAATGTCACATGCACAGCCAAGCAAAATGTGCATGTCATGCAGTTTTCCTTGTTAAATTCTGGATGCACATGCGTAAGGGAGAAATGTGCGTACACATCTCACAGGATCTTGTACCATCGTACAAGATCAAATTATATGCTTTCACTACATCCCCTAGACATCGATTGTTTTCTATGAATTATTCAAGAATCTTATAGGAGTCCTGTAGATGCCCATGTGCCACAAATACGAATTTTAACAAACTTTTAT